GTTATTATAGTTGTTCCTAATTTTCTTGATGAAATTGAGATGTGATCTTCTTGTAATTTTCAATAAAGACAATTTTATAAAAAAAAAAACCTCTATAGATGTGGGAATACCTTACTTCTCTTTTTGATGATAAAATGGGCTTGTGGGCAATAGTAATATGTTTTTCTATGTTAATGATGTCTCACTTTCTTTCATCGATATATGTATCATACTATTTTCACATTTTAGATTATTATAAACATGGCTGACTCTATATATTGCTGTTATTTTTAAATAAGCTCATTTATTTTTAGCTAACATAGAGTCCTTACATTTAATTCAATGGAAATATTCTGTAGAGAAGTGCTATCATGCCCAAGGATAAATTAATCTCTCTTCCTCCAAAATAATAAAATATTTCTATTTGTGCACAAATAGAAATTTTCTTATTTGCTATGATTTTCATGGCAAATATTTTGTATCTTGCAATTCTCTTAATCTTAGAAGCAATGCTAAAATAATATAAACCACAATTTTAAAAAAGTTATTCTTACACATTATGATGAATATGAAAATTATAATTTTAAAGCTGTCATACAATTACTTTAAGTTATTGTATTATACAAATATGCAGAGATGTTACATTAATTACCCTAAATATCTCATTTTTTAGTCTTCCTGAGTATATTTCATAATGTATTTATTACTTCAGTTATGTAGTTAATGCCCAGAAAATCTCTAGACATTCAAGATATTTTAACAAAAGGGTAATTCTTCTGCTCTTTATCCACTTACTATATTACACAATATGGATCTAGGGAAGGTACTTCTTCCCCCAAACCTGAGACTATACTTGTCTTTCAGAGATACATCCCCAATTTTTTTTTAATTTAAAATTTCAGCTATATACAGGAAAAGAATAACTAATTCCTAAGTAGCTTTACTTTTTTTAAGCTTATTTTTCAAGAAAACCTATTAAATTTACTTACGACATCTTTATAATATAAACATAAATAAGTCTATCCAACTTAATATAGACTAGGTTCTGAGATACATATTAGGGCAATTTTCATTCATTTCTGAATATTATTTTGAAATATTTCATTGTGCTAGTTGCTTTTATCTATTTATTTATTTAGTATTCTTAGTATTCTTCTATCATACCTATTGAGATACTATACATTGAGCTTACTTTAGTTGTATCATTGTGATGGGTGGATGAATGGATGGATATATTATAACTGGCTATAGAAAAGAATGCCCACTGGTCTGTTCTTCCCTGGTACCTCGCATAAATCCCTGTACTTTCATTGAAAACAGAGATCCTAAAGTAAGTAGCATAAGTTATAATATTAATATAAGGGGAAAGTTACATCAGATACTTGAAATTTTAAAAATCTTTTGCACGCAACTATGCTGACAAGAAAAATGATTCAAAACTGACTTCACTAGATGATTATAAAATTATTTTTCCCTTAGAAGTCACTGGAAACAAATACTAAAATATAACATTCTTAGCTTTTCTTATGAGTAAATACTGACATTTAAATTCAAAAGACTTCTAAATTGTTTTCTTTATTATTGCAGCCTATTGTCAGTTTATCTTCATCTCAAAATCTGCGTATATTAATGTATGCTTTTATGGCTGGGTTGTTAAAAATAGTGGCTATTGTTATAATATTGTCAATCAATATAAATTAGTGCAGGGGTTGTTACAAATGCTTGCAGAGGCTTGCAGTTTAGAATAGCAGCCACTAGGTAATGCAGAACAGTAGTCTATATCAATTCAGGTAAATGACACAAAAAAAAC